ACTAAGTTGCTGCCTCCAGGGAGCTTATATTTAACTAGAGGCCCGGTGCACAAAAATTTGTGCACTTGGAGGAGGGGGGGTGCCCCTCAGCCCGGCCTGTGCCCTCTCACAGTCTGGGACCCCTCGGGGGATGACCACCTGCTGGCTTAGGCCCGCTCCCCGGGGGATTGGGCCTAAGCTGGCAATCAGACATCCCTCTGGCAGCCTGGAGCCCTCGGGGGATGTCCACTTGCCAGCGGGGAGCAGGCCTAAGCTGCAGTCTGACATCCTTAGTGCTGCTGAGGAGGTGGAAGAGGCTCCCACCACCACCACTGTACTGGCAGCCATCAGCCTGGCTTGTGGCTGAGCAGAGTTCCCCCTGTGGGAGCGCACTGACCACCAGGGGGCAGCTCCTGCATTGAGAGTCTGGACCCTGGTGGTCAGTGTGTCATAGTAACCAGTCATTCCCAGTCATTCTGCTGTTAGGGTCAGTTTGCATATTACCTTTTTATTATATAGGATAGAGGCCTGGTGTATGGATGGGTGCCGGCTGGTTTGCCCTGAAGGGTGTCCCGGATCAGGGTGGGGGTCCTGCTGGGGTGCCTGCCAGCCTGGGTGAGGGGATGATGGCTGTTTGCAGCTGGTCACACCCCCTTCAGGGTGGGGGTCCCCACTGGGGTTGCCTGGCCAGTCTGGGTAAGGGGCTGAGGGCTGCTTTCAGGCTGGCCAAGCCCCCCAGCGACAGAAGCTCCCAGCCTCTCCTTTTTTTCTTTTTTTTTTTATTCTGGGATTTATTTACCTTCTATAATTGAACCTTCGTTGCCTTCAGTGGAGCTCAGAGCTGGCCGTGGCAGGCGGGAAGCTTGGCTTCCTCCATCACTGGAGCAACAAGCCTCCTGCTCGCTCCAGCTCCGTGGCTGCCGGCTGCCATCTTGGTTGCATTAATTTGCATATAGTCACTCTGATTGGCTTGTGGGCGTGGCTTAAGGCACAGCAAAGGTACAGTCGATTTGCTTGTTTGTCTTTTATTAGATTAGATGGGGACTGAGGATGGAAAGATGGACAATACACAAACATATTTCTTGATTCTAAATGGAATTTTTTCACATTTTAGTGTTTCTGAAAGTGGGTGTACCTTATAATTTATGACAATTTAGAATTATATTTGTCAGTGTTTCTTTTTTAGTGACACCTAAAAGAATGGTGTATCTTACAATCAGTTTGAATGATAAATTTGATGAATCACTATTTAATAAGGCATTTGTTGATAAGTGCTATGAAAAAATAAATCAGAACAAAGGTGATAGTTACATGACTATTCACAAATAATGTGATATTTGAGCAGAGCATATGCTCAGTTCAGATGATATTTTTTTCATAGTTAGACTTCCTCCCTGAAGGATGTAGTATATTGGTTCACATTCTGACACAAACTTCACTGTGGACTGGTAGCAGCTTGTGAACTGGCTACTTTGAATAGCACTGGTGTAGAGGGGTGGAGTCCTGGCAGATGGAGGTACATGGGGGTTAGGAATCATTTTGCAAGACGGGTTCAGACCTTATAGGCATGGTAAGGGCAAAGGTGACAGAATTTTCCATCTTAGTAGCTGGCAACAGTTCTAGTTGCTCAACAAAAACTTTGGAGTCATCTTTGACTTCTCCATTTGCCCATTTTCTACACCCAGTCAGCCAGCAAATCCTGCCTGCTGTACCTTCCAACCATGTCCCAGTTTTGACCATCTCCACCTAAACCACTCTGGTCCTGGCCATCATCATGCCAGGATCATCATGATAGCCTCCTTACCTGTCTCCATTCTTCTACACTCCCCTTCCTGTGATGTCAACTTAACAACTAAAGTGGTCCTCTGCAAATATGTTTGATGATTTGATACTCCTGCTTTAAACCCCTCAGACTGATCCTGACACTCTCAGAGGAAAGATTAAAGTTCTTTTGATGGCCTACAGAGCTCTACACTATTTGGTCTCCCACATATTTGACCTTATATCCTACTTGTCTGCCTTGTGCTTATTCTGCTTTTAGCTGCCTTGGTGGTCTTACTGTTTTGTTTTTTTTAATCATGTTGAGCATGTTCCTGCCTCAAAGCATTTGATTTGTTGTTTCCTCTGCCAGGAATACTGTTCCCCCAGATATCTGCTTGGCCTACTTCCACAGGTCTCTGCTCAAATCTCCCCTTATTAGAAGGGCCTTTTACCAACCTATGTAAAATAGCACCCCTCTTTCCCTACTAGCACTGTGTTTTCCACTAAACCAGGATAAACTAAGTTGTGTTGCAGCAGCAAGCAACTCCACAATAGCAGGGGCCTAAACGACAAGGTTTGTTTCTCACTGATGGTATCCCTCTGTGGCAAGTCACCTGGGAGGTCCACTTCACACTGTCTTTAACTCTAGGATCTGGCTGATAGCATGGCCACCATCTTGAGTACTGGCAGAGGGAAAGTCCATTCACTGGCTCTTCAAGTATCTGCCTGGAAGTAATGTCTATTACTGATTTGGCCAAAGTGAGTCATGTTGCCATACCTAACTTCAGTTAGGGAGGGGGAATGGGTGTGTGGCAGTCCTATCATGTATTTTAAAAGAGACCAGGTAATCTATGATGGATGATATAGCCATACTCTTTACCCTGCTTAATTTTCATTTCTTTTTTGTTTTTAATATGTTTTTATTGATTTTCAGAGAGAGGAAGGGAGTGGGAGATAGAAACATCAATGATGAGAGAGAATCATCTATCGACTGCCTTCTGCACACTCCCTACTGGGGATCAAGCCCACAACTCGGGCATATACCCTGACCAGGAATTGAACCACAGTTGGTACATGGTTCTTGAGTCAATGCTCAACCACTGAGCCATACCAGCCTGGCCTGCTTAATTTTTCTATAGTATTTATTTCCATTTGACATAATGCATAGTTGCCTTGATTTGTGTATTTTCTTTTCTCTCTTGTCTAGACTGAAAGCACCACAAAAGGGGAGGGATTTTGTCTATCACTTACTGCTATACCCCAGGGCCTAGGATAATACATGGTCAAGAGTAGGTGCTTGTTAATTTTAGAGAATGACTGAAAATACTAAAGCATGTCATTCATTTATTCACTTGGTGACATGTAAGCCAAGTTGGGAGTGTGGAGCAGGGAGGTTTGAGGAGAGAGGATGAGATAGTGTGAAGTAAGTTGATGAGTAGGTTTACTAGAGAAAAGGAATAGAATTGCTGATCAGTAGAGTGTTAGCAGTTTGAGATTTGAGACTATGAACTTACCGTGAAATCTTGCGGCTTAGCGATTTGATTTTCTTCAGTAATGCCGAGTTACTCAGGAGCTGGCCTGGAAGAGGCAGCCATGAATGATCCTTGCACGAGCCTATTTCACAAGGAATGGTGGAGGCCCAACTTGAGGAAGAAAACATGGTTCCAGCTGCCTTACATCACCCCTGCTCCATCTTCGGTCCGTCAGAAAAATAAAGGAGCTTGCCTTTACAGGAAGCCCATTCTCCTGGGGTGATGTGATTGCAGTTGTAGAAGCAGTTTCCCCTATTTCATTTACTTCTCACAACACTTTTGAGGTAGCTTTTCTTATCTTCATTTTACAAGTGAGGAAAACTGAGGCTTAAACTGCTGGAGATAGAATTTAGGTTGATTAAGCTCGCAGCCATGGTGCTCTGCTATACTTTTGATGTATACTTATTGTTTCTTCTGTACTTATTGAGGCCATGGGGAACCTCTTATCTTGGGGATGGGAGCTCTGTTAGCTTTTAGATTCCATGGAGCCTTGATTGTGTCTCAGTCATGAAGATTGTATGCAACCACTGTACTAATGGTTCCAATTTAGATGTTGCAAGACCTTATCAGAGAGGAAACAGTTGGGCTATTTTTATATACTTAAACAAACTCATTACCAACTGTAGTTAGTAAATTCACTCCCAGGGAATTTCTTGTGAATACTCTTAAAGTGATCCCTGTGCGATCTGAGATTGTCTCCATCAGTGATATCTTTCTGTGGTCTGTCCTGTTGAGCTGAACCTTTCTTAGGTACAAGGGGTTGTGCTGGGCTTTATTGCTAATAGAGAGAAGAGAAAGCAGGTGGCCTTTGTTTAGAAATCTTTAATGTAGTTCAGAAGGCAAAACAGGTACAAAATCCTGAATATTCAAATAGTCCCTGGAAACGGGTGCAGAGTGAGTGGGGGGGCTCCTCGGGCTAAAATGCTTCACTGAAATGGACGAAGGGAAGTGGAAATGGTGTTGTAATTTGAAAGCTGCATAATGTTTAGAAAAGGCTCTAAATGGAAAACCGACTTGGGCTCCAGTCATACTCATGGTGGATAATCTCAGTAGGCCACTGCAGTCAGTAATGTTAGCACTTTTAACCACATTTTAATTATTCTTGTTTTTTAATATATTTTATTGATTTTTTTTTACAGAGAGGAAGGGAGAGGGAGAGTTAGAAACATCGATGAGAAACATCAATCAGCTGCCTCCTGCACACTCCCTACTGAGGATGTGCCCGTAACCAAGGTACATGCCTTTCACCGGAATCGAACCTGGGACCCTTTAGTCCATAGGCCGACGCTCTATCCACTGAGACAAACCGGTTAGGGCACATTTTAATTATTTTTAATGTGCTTATGTATGTGAATCCTGCCCATGCTCAAAAGCTAACCGGTCAATTTGATAGAAAGCATACTCTTCTCTCTATTTCTTTGCACTTCGGTGACCATGTTCTGAAAGGTATTTTATGGGAGTTCCTGGCTGTTGACTTGGTTTGGTCTCACATAAGAGCCAACAATGAAAACCTTGCCAGTAAATTCCACTTGTTTTCCAGTGCCCTTTGATCACTTACCTCTGTAGGTAAATGTTTTGAAATATATGTTAATTAGAACTAAGATCCAGAGTTTGTGCAGTTTACTTTCTTTTTGTTTTAAAAAGTAAATTCTCTTGCTTTGTTCACTCGTGTGCTTTTTTAAATCTTAGGAACAATAATTCTCAAAGCGGTTTTCTTTTTCCCTCCAGACAAGGCACCTCTATCTAAGAGTCTTTTACTGGTCCCCAGTGCCCTGTCTCTTTTGCTGACTCTACTCCTGCCACACTGTCAGAGGTTCTTCCTGTATGACCTCCAAGCAGTCAAGGATGACTTTCAGGTGAGCTCTGCTTCATTGGCCTTTGGGAAGGGAGAAGGCAAATTTTCCCTAGATTTGCCTTTTCTTTCTGCTACTCTTAGTCCCTCAAAGCCTCTAAATTTGTAAGAAATACTATTTATCATTAATATTATATTAACAAATTCTCTAGTTTTATTTATTGATGTTTTCAACAAAGCAGATTCTAATGAAGCAATTGCAGCACTAGACACTATCTCTTTTCAGTTACACCGTTTACACATGAAAATGCAGTTTACAATTTCAAGAGAATTAAAAACAATGTTAAATTTGGTTTTTAGTGATTAGTATGTATGCTTAACATTTTAGAAACTTGCATCAGTTTGAGTATTGATTGGATAATCTAAGCTCTCAGCTCTAACAGATTGTTGAATCTGCGAATTACTTTTATAGTGGTGGTTAAACCAAGTAGGAGATTTCTCTTGGGTTTTCACTGCTGAGAAGAGCAGAATTCTATGTTTTTCAAGACTTATAGGCTGATTTCATAGAACATGCTGGTGCTGGGTCTTATTTGTGAGTTGGAGTATTAGTGAAGATTGTGGTGTATAAACCTGCCACCTTTTCTTTGCTAAATACTTAATTATCCACAATAATCCACCTGTATGTCATAATAATGTAATTAATACCACTCAGGTTAATTTCACCAAGTTCCTGTGAAGGTCTTTCAGTTATTTTCTGTTAGAATATAGTATAGATTCTGTATTAGTTCAGTTGCAAGAATACAGTGGTTCTCAATTTGGCTGAGAACCACTCTTCTGTCCAGGAATGTGAATAGGCACACTCTCCTGCTAGAATCTCCTAAAAAGCTCTCACTTTGCTTTTATAAGAGCAGCTACAGAGATGAGTTTCAGTTCTGCCTTGGGAAATCTAAACATACACATACATAAGACATAAGTGACATGAAATCCTCAGGGATGATAAATGAAGTAGGGACCAGTATAGAATGGAGTAACTTTGGAGAGCCATAAAGATAGGAATTTTCCATTTGGTCTGAAGGAAGGGAAGCCAGTTTATTAGCAGTAGAGAGAGAAGAGCATTTTACTTCCCAAAGCAATATGTACTTCAAACCGTTAGGAATACTGTATAGGAGGCATGGTTGGAGACTAGTGCAGGGTTACGTTAGATGAGGACAGGAGGGACAGTTGGTGAAGGGCTTTCTTTTGCAAGTGTGGAATCTCCCACATTTTGACACTTAAGGCAGAGATCTCCTGCCTCTGCAGCCGTGGGCAAAGGGCCTGATCCGGCCCATTTGAAATGAATAAAACAACAACAAAAAAAGACCGTACCCTTTTATGTAATGATGTTTACTTTGAATTTATATTAGTTCACATAAACACTCCATCCATGCTTTTGTTCCGGCCCTCCGATCCAGTTTAAGAACCCATTGTGGCCCTTGAGTCAAAAAGTTTGCCCACCCCTCCTCTAGTGTGTTGCAGGTTGAATGCAGAAGTAGTGCTTTGCTGAGTGTAAGTCAGTGATCAATTTTATAAGGAGCAGGCACCTTATAGTAATCTCCAATTATTTATTTTTATACCAGGTCACAGGTTTTTGTGTCCGTAAGCATAGGACAAATTACAAAATTATTTAAAAGTGTGGTTTCTATTTTTATTTGTCATTAAAACAATTCTATAAACCCAATTTGTTAGATTTAAATAATTGTAAAGTCTTAATGTCCTTAATCCCCCAGATTTTCCTGGTGGCTCACAGGGCTTTGCCCTGAATAGAATATATTTTTAGAGTTTAAAATGTGGGAAATAGAAGACTTAGAGCTATTTTTTCATGGTTTCTGCATCTTGTTTTGCAAAGGTGACAGTCAAATTATCTTATATTTTAAAGCACTACATAGTTTACAAAGCATTCTCATTTGATCATGTTGATGGTCGGATATGCTGGCCTACAGATTCAATGTGATTCTGGTGCAGCTATGGAATTTCTAAGGGAGAAAAGAAATTTAGTTTAGAGGTGTCACCTGTGTTCCATATGTGTGCCCATTATGGTCATTGCTAACTGATGATGTTGCTGTTTCTCCTTAAACCCAGCTGTGACCTTAACACAGCATTATTGGCAGCCATCCCCATTTCAGTTAGATGGGCATGTGAAATGAATTCTAATGGCCAGCCCTAAACCAGTCCAGTGCCGTCATATTTTGGAGTACACTGATGACAAAGACTGTCTTGGTTGGAACTGAAACGGAAGTGAAATGTTTTGACAGTTGGTATAGTCTATATTCTCATTTATATTATGATTATTTATATTTGCAAGAATTTCTTTTGGCAAGGTCATATGCCTTAGACAAGTAAAACACTTTCTCTGTGCATATTCTCCTTATTTTAAAATAGAGTTAATCTTACCAGTGTTCATAATAGCATTCCTCACAATAGCCTAAAGGTAGAAGCAATTCAAATGTCCATTAATAGATGAATGGATTTTAAAAATGTAGTGCAGACATACAGTGTAATATTATTTAGCTATTCAAAGTAATGAAGCTCTAATACATGCTTTAACATGAACCTTGAAGACATAATGCTAAGTAAAGTAAATAAGCCAGACAACAAAGGACAAATATTATATGATTCCACTTATATGAGGTACCTAGAATAGTCAAATTCTTAGAGACATAAAGTAGAATAATGGTTACCAGGGGCTGAGGGGAGGGGAGAATGGGGAGTTATTGTTTAATGGATACAGTTTCTGTTTGGGATTGTGAAAAATTCTGGAAATAGTGGTGATTGGGGATACAACATTATGAATGTTCTTAATGCCACTGAATTATACATCTAAAAATAGTTAAAATGATAAATTTCATTTTATGTAATTTTACCAAAATAAAAACAATACAAAAGAAAAGGTTAATATTTTTTGTACCTATCTTATAAGGTAATTGTGAAAGGTAAATAATATCAGAATGTTTTACAAATGTCATTGGGATTATCTTTAAATATCTGGAAAATATTTAAGAAGTCTCAAATAAGCCTTTGAGTTGTTCTTTCTTCTTTGTATAGTTCCTTATATATTTTTCACACAAGGAGAAATTGATTTACGTAAATTAAAAGTTAACTTTAAAAAAAAAATTAAACCTAGTAATATTTAGCAACAGTTGCCATAATTTGCCTTGTATGTGGGTTGGTATGAAGTAGGTTGAGCATTAAAATTAAGCTTAGAAATGGATATTATTGGGTTTATTCCTAAATAGCTTTTCAGTTACACCTGTTTTATTAAATAGCATAAAAACGAACATTAGCCTTTCATTCTAGCTCACATATATAAATTTTTTTTTTTATTGTACGAAACATAGTCTTAAGATGTTTAACAGGAAATTTTCTGTTTTCTTAATGAGAATAAATTTTACTTATTATTATAATCAAAAAATTTTAAGTACCCTTTGTGCCGTTATATGAAAAGAATTTTAGCAGGAGACAGTAGAGCTTATTTCTTAGGAAAAGCATATATGTGTTTTCCTTTTCTGTATGCATCATTATTTTGCTTAGAGTTTAAAAAATAAGCAGTATAAAGTAAATGTAACAAATTTGCTAAGGAGCAACCTGAACAGATCTCACTCTTTATTGTTCTTTTTTAAATCCCCATCTAGATTTGGAGACTGATATGTGGAAGAATAATTTGCCTTGATTTGAAAGATAGTTTCTGCAGTAGTCTGCTTATTTATAATTTTAGGATATTTGAAAGAAGATATGGAAGCAGAAAATTTGCAGTAAGTTCTTATGTATTTTCTCTTTGCTGTTAGGTTATAGAAGAACATTTTTTGTTTTCTATTATATTTAAATAGTTTTATTTCGTTATTATTAACAATGATCTTTTAATTACATGATCCTTTATCTGAATTGGAACAGGGACATTAACCAAAGAAAAATTTAAATTTAAGTCACTAGCATAATAAAATAATGATGATGGTAATAGGTCATAATGTCAGGTATGAGTGGGTACTAACAATTTTTATTAGGATTTTGGCTTTAACAAAATTCTCATTACTTATTTTGCTTAATGGTTTGTGTGTTACTTGTTAAATCATCCTATTAATGTGTTTGGCCAATATAGTTTTATTCTCTCATTTTGATTATATATATATATACATACTAGAGGCCCAGAGCATGAAAATTGTGTATTGGTGGGGGGGTCCCCTCAGCCCAGCCTGCACCCTCTCCGGGATCCCTCTCACAATCCAGGACCGCTGGCTTCTAACTGCTCACCTGCCTGCCTTCCTGATTGCCCCTAATTGCCCCCCCTGCCAGCCTGATCACCCTTAACTGCCTCTGCCTGCCAGCCTGATTGCCCCTAACTGCCCCGCCCCCACTGGCCTGGTTGCCCCTAACTGCCCCCTCGCACCAGCCTGATCTCCCCTTACTGTCCCCCTCTGCTGGCCTGGTTGCCCCCAACTGCTCCACCCCCCCCCCACCCCCCCGCTGGCATGGTCGGCCCCCCCCCCCCACTGCCCCTTCTGCTGGCGTGGTTGCCCCCAACTGCCCCCTCCCACTGGCCTGGTCACCCCCAATTACCTCCTGCTGGCCTGGTCGCCCCGCGCAGCCTGCTGTTCAGTCATTTAGTTGTCCCTCACTAATCCCCCTGCCGGCCTGGTCACCCCATGCAGCCTGTTGTTCAGTCGTTTGGTGGCCCCTCACTAACCCTCCTGCCGGCCTTGTTGCCCCATGCAGCCTGCCAGCCTGCTGTTCAGTCGTTACTATTACTGTGATGGTTTCCTGGACAATTTGCAGTAGTATAGATAGTCATATATATATATATTTAAGTTTGTTTTTATTAGAAAAGACTATATATATATGTATATATATATATGTTATATATTTGAACTGGTTCTAATTAAGTAAATGTTAATTTATTTTTAGAAGACTCCTCTATATAATGCTTTGTTTTATTTTTAGTCCTTTTTGCTGGGTTCCTGGGTTTTGTCAGCCTTGGTTGACTTCATCCTCGTTGAAGCTATGTGGTATTCCTTTGGTATCACTGCATCCAGGAATTTGCCTTCTGGATTGTAAGTAACTCTCAAAGACTAGCTTATTTTGTAACTAATTAAATCTGATTTAAAGTAGTATTGTACATGAAAGTCATTAAAAGCATATTTTAAACTTTTAGAGACAGTAGAATTGATTTTATGTATTAAAAAAATCCAGTGTATACTTATATTCTCATTATGTTCTTGAAACAATTTATTTTACATTCGCTCTTTTTCAGCTTTGAAGTCCCATGTTTTAGGGAATTTTTAATGAATTTCCTGTTCTAATTCTGAAGATAGAATTAGTTTTATGTATTTATTTTATAGTGAAATTTTGTCTATGTAGTTTTGTGAACTAATTAAACACAAAAATACAAAGTTTAACTAATTAGATTAGATTAGGCAAAAATTAATTTATCTTAAGCTTCTGAAGAATGATGTTTTTAAAAATTGATATTGTTTAATACTTCCACCAAAGATAAAACAAAGTCAGTATATAAGTTATTTTTAGCCAATTTGCAATAGTCAATCTAACTCAGAGTGTATATGCTTTCATATGGTATTGATCTTCTTTTAACAACAAAACAAAAAATCATGTATTAGTTTATGAAATACTAAAGGCCTGGTGCACGGGATTCATGCACTGGTTGGGGGCGTGGCCAGCGGGGATTGGCCCATTGTGGGAGCGCCACTCATCCCAGTCAGCCGAGCAGCTGTGGACCTGCCCTCTGAGTGGCTGATGCCACTGTGAGAGCAGCTGCTCATCTATCAGCTGAGCAGCTGCTTTTGCTGTGGGAGCGCCACTCATCCTGGTCAGCCAAGCGGCTGCAGCAGGAGGAGCCGCTCATCCTGATCAGCTGAGTGGCTCTCCCATTGTGGTCAGTGTGCGTCATAGCAACTGGTCAAGCGATCGTTCTGGTCGCTCCGCCATTTAGTCACTGAGCTTTTATTATATAGGATTTAGGATCTAGGAGCAGAGTTGTTAGCACTTATAAGTGACCTTAAAGCATCATATTGGAGACTGCATTTGAGAGATACTTTGAAATTAAGATACCAGATATTTAAAGTTCTGTGTGTACTAACTTCAGCCTTATTTTAATTTTGAATTTGTGTTTTTGAGAACTATTAGATGATTGTATGTATTTTGACTCAAGTTCACTTTGGATCTCTATTTTAAAAATGCAGTTAATAATCTAATAGCTTTCACACTTACATTGTTAATTTACACTGTGGCTGTCCTTTATGAGATTTACTTATAGTGGGCATGAATATTGTTACTAATGTATGATTCTGAATAATAATTGGAGACAAAATCTTGTGTCGTAATTATCATGCAGTTTTTGTTGAGGTCCACAGATTATAATTGTAATGAGACTGAGAAGTTTGAGTTGACTATTCTGCTATTGTGGAAAAAAGTGTAGTTATCAGGAATGATTTCATATTGATTCAGGAAAGCAGCAACATTACTGAATCATAGGTTTTTCTCAAACATTTCTCATCCAGGCCAGTTATTTTTAGTTATCTATAAGGCCTACTGAGTTATATAGAACAGTATATACGTATCATGTGAGTTTGTCTCAGAATAAACTTTGGGCATGGATAGTAATATAGCTTTTAACTCGTGTTTAAAATGAGATAAGATTGTCCCCTTGTTTGATGACCTTTTTTCCTATTGCACAGAGTTGAATGACAGTTATTTTTTTGTATGAATGACATTTATTTCTTTATGAAATCCTGTTAACTGGTTCTTATAAGGAGGATTTATTCAGTTTTGAAGTTGGGAATATTTTTATTTATTCTTAAAGCAGGAATATTTAAATCTTGGTTCATAGCAAAAGTTGCAAATTTGAGTAAATTCAAAAGTTATAGGATCCCCTTTGAAAGAAATTACTATAAATGTTAATTCATCCATTCCCCTGAATGATGAATGTATTTCTTTTTCCTTTTCAAATCATGAAACATGAGAGTATGGCATTTTAGAATCTTGAAGCTTTCTCAGACTTCTTGGAACATAAATCTTTAATTCAATAAAGTGACTCTGGCCGGTGTGGCTCAGCAATTGAGCGTTTACCCAGAAACCAAGAGGTCACTTGTTTGAGTCGCAGTCAGGGCACATGCCTGGGTTGCGGGCTTGATCCCCAGTAGGGGGTGTGCAGGAGGCATCTGATGGATGATGTTTCTGTCTCCCTATTCCTCTGCCTCCTCTTTCTCTAACAATCAATAAGAACATATTTTTAAAAAATAAATAAACTTTGCATTTTGTAAATATATCTTTTATTTGATGAGAGCAAGGCTTCACAAACTCAGGAAAGGAAACTTCTCTCTTTTTTTGGTCAACATGCTTTATAATTTGCAGGGTTTTTCACATAATATCTTGTTACCTTTTTTTTTTTTGGCCATCAATGTCAAATTTATCTGCCCTTTCTATAATTCTTGACTTCGGATTTAATTCTCTCTCTCCCCCCTTTTTTTAACCTTACCACTTTTAAAATTTCTCTAATAAACTTCACCAGTATCCAATTTCTAAAGCCAGTGACTTATTTTCAGTTGTCTTTGACCTTTCAATAGCATATTAAATACTTTTGACCTCTCGTTATTTAATAAAATAACCGCCCCCTTGAGTCCTAGCATACTACGCTCTCCTGGTCCTTTTTGACCTTATTTACTGTCTATGCTCCTTTCTCAAGTTTATTTCAAGTGCTTCCTCTGGGCTGTCTTGTCCACTGCCATGACTTCAACTACAGTTAATGTCTGTGGTTTTGTTTCCCAACACTCTATTTCCAGTCCATATTACTTTCCTGATCTTTTTAGAGTCATATTCAGAAAAAGTAGCCATTAAGGTTTTGACATTAAAGATAGGTACATTCCAAAAGCTATATATATTAGGAACTTCCAGTAACCCATGCCTATCGAACATTTGTCCTTATATACCTATTATTTTTTAATTGTTAGTATTTACATGTGAATGTTACATTGTTTCCCAGAATCAAATCCCTCCAGAGAAGTGGAATTTTGGCTTTTTATATATCCTGTTTAAATGTATCTAATTACAATGCTGAGTAAAATTATTTTTAATTAATTGGTTTAGATTATTTATAATTGTATTGTGAGAACCATGACATACATTTTCACTTCGTTGTCTTTGTGGTAAGAAAGCCTTTTGTTGTGTTTTGTGCTCTCAAATTAAGAAAAGCTATTATAGAGAACTTGCCATTTAATAAATTACATAAGAGCAGATTAATCCATGTAGTTTAAGAGTATTTATGACTGTATTTGCGTACCATAACTCTACATAAACAGGAGTTATTTCCATTGTTTTAGAAGTATTTATTTGTTTAAAGATATTTATTAAAGTATCTTGCTTACATGACTATTCAAACTAAAAACTTCAAGTAGTTTTCTCTTTGTTGAGAAACTACATCTCAGTATGATCTTGACTCCTTTAGCTTATGTAGCTATGAGAATTTTTACATCCCATAAGCTTGTTTCCTTTTTATTATTTAAAAAAAAAACCTGGTGATTAACATGAAAAGAGACTGAATTTGCTTTATAATCCTCTTAGGACCTTAGTTTCTTTACATTTAAAACAACAGATCATCTAAGGCAGTGGTTCTCAACCTTCTGGCCCTTTAAATACAGTTCCTCATGCTGTGACCTAACCATAAAATTATTTTTGTTGCTACTTCATAACTGTAATGTTGCTACTGTTATGAATTGTAAAGTAAATATCTGATATGCAGGATGGTCTTAGGTGACCCCTGTGAAAGGGTCGTTTGACCGCCAAAGGCAGGGGTCCTCAAACTTTTTAAATAGGGGGCCAGTTCACTGTCCCTCAGACCGTTGGAGGGCCGGACTATAGTTTAAAAAAAAACTATGAACAAATTCCTATGCACACTGCACATATCTTATTTTGAAGTAAAAAAACAAAACGGGAACAAATACAATATTTGTATTTGCATGTGGCCTGCGGGCCGTAGTTTGAGGACCCCTGGCCAAAGGGGTCGCGACCCACAGGGTGAGAACCGCTGATTTAAGGGATCTTCTTATACTAAAATGCTGTTTTAGGCTCCTTTGTGTTTATTTTTTAAGAATATTAATTTATCCATGTTAATTATAGAAATCAAGTAATAACCAAAGCATTGATTTGATTTTAAGTCCTATTGGGAGATGATTATGTTAAGGATAATAAAAGTGATTTAACAGTGAGGAAGTTATAATTAACTCATTTGGGTACATATTTAGAATATAGGCTTTACAGATTATATAGTTCAGTAGAGGCCCTGGTGCACGAGATTTGGGCCTGTGCCCTCTCGCAGTACGGGAGCTCTCTGGGGATGTCCAACTGACTGATGGCTTAGGGGAGTGGGCCTAAGCTGGCAGTCGGACATCCTTAGTGCTGCCGCGGAGGAGGGAGAGGCTCCCGCCACTGCCGCTGCACTCTCCAGCTGGGAGCCCAGCTTCTGGGCTTCTGGGCTTCTGGCTGAGTGGCGCTCCCCCTGTGGGGGCACACTGACCACCAAGGGGCAGCTCCTGCGTTGAGCATCTGCCCCCTGGTGGTCAGTGCACATCATAGTGACCGGTCATTCTATTGTTTGGTCGATTTGCATATTACCCTTTTATTATATAGGATTTCCATTTCTTTTTAAATGGAGAAGTTACTTTGTTTGTTACTTTATTAGGGAAAATTAAATGGCAAGGTCCTTGACTAGTGCTTTTTATACTGTAACATATGACCTGGAAAAAAAAATTCAATCTCTTTTGTAATGTGATGTTTAATCACATAGGAAGAGCAACTCTTAATATTGGAGAAAGATATTTTACCATATAGCAGAAACATGTCCCAGGAAAAAACTTGGATTATTGGTCAGAAATAGGGTCTTGGGTTAGGTTTCCCCCATTGGTCTTAAGTAGAGTCTGGTGCTTGGTAGGCTCTCAATAAGTGTTTATTGGATGACGTTAGCCTGTTTCCAAAAGAAAATGAATTCAGAGTAGAGGAGGGCTGATGGCCATAGTCTCCACAGGCTCATTCAAATGCTTGC